CAGGCCTCCTTCAGGGCCAGGCTGCTGGTTTGGAAACTGTAAGAGCCACAGTAGCGCCCAAACGCTGGGATTTCAACCCAAAAAAAGCAAACACCAGAAAAACAAAAGGATTTTTGCTCTCTGAAGGAAAGGCCTGTGAGTTTGGGGCCAGATTTTACACCAGGGAGTGGGGCTGGAGTGGGACGGGACCCCTGTGGCCCTGAGCTGAGGATGGACCAGGTGAGTTCCATCCCCAGGTGCTGGAGGAGCTGTCAGATTATTTCTCCTGGCATCCCAAGAGATCATGGAATGATTTGGGTTGGAAAGGATGTTAAAGACCTCATTCCAACCCCCTGCCATGGGCAGGGACACCTTCCACTATCCCAAATTGCTCCGAGCCCCATCCAACCTGGCCTTGGACACTCCAGGGATCCAGGGGCAGCCACAGCTTCTCTGGGAAATCTCTGCTGGGGCCTCACAGTCAAAAATTTTCCTAATATCCAATATAAACCTGCCCTCTTTCAAGAAGAGTCCAAAGAGTCAAGTCCTGAAGACTAGGGGTGCAGCACTTCTGTATTAAAAAACCAGGTTAATTTGGGGTTATTTTTTTTCTTATAAAGGGGTGTCTGGGGAAACACTTCCTTTTTCTATCCTGCAGTCAGGAGCACCGTGCCCTCGTTAACTGGGGGAGCTCCCAGTGCTCTGCAGGCACTGGGAGAACTGGTTTGGAGTGGAAACTTCCCCTCAAGGATTTGGCTGGACTGCCCAAACAGTGATGGGGAGCACAGGATGGGTGGCAGGGCCCAGGAAATGGGACAGCCCTGCCCCAGGATGTCCCAGGACTCAGGGGGTATGGGGTTGAAAGGTAGGAAAACATGGGAAAAAAACACCCCATGAGTCAGAGTATCCAAGTTTTCCAGCTTTTCCATCCAGGCAGCATTGACAGGGGGTTTGGTGGAGGCACACACGCAGGGGGACCCCTCCAGCACTCAAAAATACCCCCCAGCAATCCCAGAACTTGCCCTGCTCCATCACCTGGTACCTCCTCATGAGCCCCAGTTTCATCCCATCCCTGATCAACCCCAGCTCCTGAATTTGAGGGACTTTGGGCTGAAGCTGCCAGTGGCACTCAGAAATAAATGTGGTGACCCCAAAAGAGAAGAGGTCCCTCCTGGGACAGGGGGGCTGCACTCATACCCCATGGATGCTCCACACAGGGACCACCCCAACAAGTCCCTCCACCCCACTGCCCAGTGGGTTCTGGCTGCTCCCTGCTGCTACTAATGAGGTTCCCCCTTCCCCTTCTTTTTTTCCTTCATTTCCAAGATCTCTGGATGGATAGGGGAATTTTGGGGTTTGGAGAGCTGCCTCGACCTTTCGCCACAGCATCTGCCCTGGCCCCATCCTGCATCCAACTGCAAACAGCAGAGGCACGAGCAGCTGCCAGAGATAATCCAGGGCCAGATCCTGCCTAAATCCACTTCCTGGCCTCCATGGCATCCCTGGAGCTGGGAGCTTTGGGCTGCTTGGCAATTGCCAGAATGCAGCCTGGATTTGGGGGTGATGAGCCTGAAATGGGGGGAGAACCGAGGAAATTGGGCTTGGAGCTGGAACGGGGGAAACTGATGCACAGAGGATTTACTCCCCTCCCTTCTCCAGGAGCATCCCGGGGGCTGCAGAGGAACCATCCGGACTGGATCCATCCTTTTCCCATCAGGAAATGAGCCCATTCTGAGGGGACCCCACCCTGAGTGATGAGCCACGGCGGGGGGGGCAGTGTTCAGACCTCCCCAAAAAAGGGGTGTCAGGTGCTGTCCCGCGGTGCCAGGGGGCTTTGGGAGGGAGGAGGCGTTGGACAGTGGCACGGGGAGGCCGACGCCATCCCATGGTCCCCGGGGGAGCGGTGGCCGGGCCGACGTCACTGTCACCGAGCCCTTCAAATAGCCGTGCCGGCCTGGGCAGCCACTGCTCCGGCCACTGCTGCAGCCACTGGTCACCACTGAGGCCACCGGTCACTACTCCAACCAGCGGCACCTGCCCAGCCAGGTGAGGCTGCCCCGGCCCTGGGAGGGGGGTTCACCCCGGGGTGGGTGGTCCTGCTCACCCCAAATCAGACCCCAATAGCACCCACGGGGGTGGGTGTCCATTCTGGACCCAAATCCCAGCAGCATCACGGGGTGCTCAGCCCCTCCAGCTTCTCCCGCCCCAGGCAGCACCCATGGATAGCTCATTCCCTCTGGATCTCCATCCCCAAACCCACCCCAGGCAGCACCTATGGGTGCTAACATCCTCTGGGATCCCCATGCCAAACCCACCACAAAGACTGCCCAGGAGAGCTCATCCCTTCTGCATTTCCATCCCCAAACCCACCCCAGGCAGCACCCATGGGTGCTCACCCTCTTTGGATCCCCATCCTAAACACACCCCAAAGAGATGCTGGACCATCTTTTCCACTCTTCCATCCCACCCCTCCTCCTGCAGCCCCATCCTCCCACACAACCCCGGGGGTTCTTATCTTTGCGGGACCCAAACCATCCCACGGGTGCTCATCCCTCCACCACTCCCAAGCCCCCCCCCCCGGAGCCCCCCGGGGGGGGTGCCGGTGGGACAGGGCCCCCTGTGCCCCCGCAGCCCCCCCGGCCATGGCTCCCCGAGGGTCGCTGCTGCTGCTGGCGCTGCTGCTGCTGAGCTGTGCCCTGCCCCGCGCCCCCGCCCAGCACTGGTCCCATGGCTGGTACCCGGGGGGCAAGCGGGACCTCCGGACCCCCCCGAACCTCCAGGTAGGGTGTGTGTCCCCCAGCCGGTTCATCCCCCCTCCAGGTCATTCCCTCTCCCCTCGGGGTGATTTTCCCCCCTCCAAAGGTGATGGCACGTCCCCCTGCCCTGGAGCCACCACCCTGCCCCAGGGTTTGTAAACCCCCCCGGGGTGACACCCTCCAGGGTTGTGACACCCCCCCAACCAGAGTAAAAGCCCCCTGCTCCTGGGGTTACACTCCCCCAGGATTATCCTCCCTCGATTATTGCCTCTCGCAATTACACCCCCCTCCTGCGATTATCTCCCCTCCGAGTTCTTGGATTTATCCACACACACACACAAATTATCCCCCCTGCAGTCACCTCTCCCACCCAGTTACCTCCCCTGGGATTTCACTTCCCCAAATCATTTTCCCCAGATTATCCCCCCCTCTCTGATTATCCCCCCTCCCCCAATTATCCCTCCCTCTGAATTGCCCCCCCCTCGCATTATCTCCCACCCCGAGATTACACCTCCCCATGTGTTCCTCTCCTCCGGAATTATCATCTGGGGTGTGTGTTATAATTCCCTCTCCCAATTATCCCTCCTCCAAAATTACCCCCCTCCGGGTTATCCCCCCATAGAGCTACCCCCTCCCATATTATCCCCCCCGGGTTACACTTCCCCAAATTGTCCTCCCCGGGTTATCTTTCCTCAAATCATCCTCTCTGGATTATTCCCTCTCCTCGGATGATCCTTCCTGGGTTGCGCTTCCCCAAATTATCCCCGCTGGATTATTCCTCCCTGGGATTATCGCCCCCCTTCCCTATTATCTCCTCCCCCCGAATTACCTTCCCCCGCAGATTATCCACCCTGGGATTAACCACCCCTGGGGGTGTTCCCCCCTTTTCCCGGGTGTCCCCCCCATCCGGGGGTCCCCTTTTTCCCCCTCCCACGGTCGCTGTCGTGCAGGTCCCAGCCCCTCTCGGACGCTGCCGCCCCCTCCGTGCCCCCCTGTCGGGAGGAGCCGCTGCCGGTGAGCGGGGATGGGGCTGGGGGCTCTGGGGGACCGAGGGGTCCCTGGGACCGGGACTGACCCGCCCCTCTCCCGACCCCTCTCCCGCAGGGGCCCGCAGTGCGCCCCTGACCGGACCCACCGACCCACGCGGGAGCGAGCCGGGCCTCCCCGCGGGGAATAAAGAGGCTGGGAGGAACTGTGCGGAGTGATGGTGCTCGGGGCGGGGTGGGGTGGGTGTCTTTGTGTGGTGTGACGGGGGCACGAGTGTGCGTGGGGTGGGATGTGTCCCGCGGGAATGCCGTGTCCCCCGCGGGATGTGTGTCCCGTGAAGGGATGGGTGTCCGATGAGAGGGGGTTGTCTCTCGTGGGAGGTCTATGTCCCGTGGGGATAACGGGTGTCCCGTGGAGCTGCCGTGTCCTGTGGGGATGCTCCCTCATGGTGCCGCATTTCCACGCGGGGAATTCGTGTCCCGTGGGAGGACCGTGTCTCGTGGGAGGGGTCGGGGGGGTGCAATACGAGGGGGTTGGGTGTCTTGGGGGGGCTGTGTCCCGTGGGGTGCCGTGTCCCCTGGGTTGGTGGTGTTCGTGTCCCATAGGTTCTTGTGTCCTACGGAGGGTGCCCGTGTCCCGAGCAGGGGGAGGCCTGTGTCCCGTGGGGTGTTGTGTCCCGCGAGTGTCTGTGTCCCGTATGGGGATCCGTGTCCCGTGTGTGCTGTCCCACTGGTGCGTGCGTGTCCTGCAGGGTTGTCCGTGTCCCACGGGTATCCGTGACCCGTGGGGTGCCATGTCCCAGGGAGCGCTATCCGTGTCCCATAGATGTCCATGTCCCGTGGGGAGATGTGTTCCTGCCCCGTGGGGGTCCGTGTCCCACAGATGTCCCTGTCCCCTGTGGGGGTGTCCGCGCCCCGGGTGTGTGGTGTGTGTGTCCATGTTCGTGTCCGTGTCCCCTGAGAGTCCCCGTCCCACGGAGGAGGGGGGTGTCTCTGTGTCCCGTGGGGTGGGTGCGTATCCCGCAGGGGGTGTCCTTGTCGCTCGGGTATCCACGTCCAGTGTGGGGCCGTCCGTGTCCCCTCGGTATCTGTGTCCCACGGAGGGTGTCGGTGTCCCGTGGGGTGTCCCTGTCCCTCGGGTGCCACGTCCCTTGGGTGCCCGTGGGTTACCCACGTCCCCCTGTGGAGGTATCCCTATCCCTCCCCGCACTGCACTTTCCCGGCGGGCCCCGCTCGGCCCGTCCCTCCCTTCCCGTGCCGTCACTGCCGCCGCGGCCCGGCCATGCTGCGGGCCCTGAGCCGCTGCTGCCGCCCGGGCTCGCTCCCGGTGCCGCTCCTGCCGCCGCCTCCCGGGCCGGGAGCGGGAGCGGGAGCGGGACACGGGCCGTGCCCCGGGCTGTGCCCCGGGTGGTCCCCGCGGGTGGTGCCGGCGCGGGGCCGCAAGAGCCGCCACGACCCCCCGGCCAAGTCCAAGGCGGGGCGGCTGAAGCTGCCGCCGCCCGTGGACCCCGAGGAGCTGCTGGTGGTGCAGGAGCGGTACCGGCAGCACCGCCTGGTGCTCGGAGCTCTCCGGTACCGGGATGGCGAGGGGGATGGCGTGGTGGGGCAGGGGTGGGATGGGAGGGGCTGGCTGTGGCTCTGGGTATGGGGCTGCTATGGGGCAAGGTCGGGTTTGCGGGGGGAGCTGGCTGTGGGTCTGGGTAAGGGACAGGGGGATGGGGCAGGGGGAAGGTTTGGGGGGTCTGATTGTGGCTCTGGGTATGGGGCTGGTGTGGGTCAGGGGCCTGGTGATGGGGCTCATCTGTAGGGTTGAAGAGCTGACTGGACAGTGGGACTGGCTGTACGGAGAGGGCTGTTGGGTAGGGGATATGAGGTTGCTTTAGGGCAGGGGAGGGTTGGAGGCTGGCTGAGACTGTGTATGGGACTGGTTGAAGGGCAGGGGGCTGGGTATGGGGCTTGGGGGCTGGAACTGTGGGGCAGGGAAGGGTTGGAACTGTGGCCATTTGGAGCTGCTGTGGGGCAGAGGGAGGGTTGAGGGCTGGATGTGGGACTGCTTGAGGGAGAGGAGAGATTGTGGGGCAGGAGTAGGCTGGGGAATCTGGAGCTGCTTTGGAACAGAGGCAAATAGACCTAGGGATACTCTGGGGTAGGAAAGGGACATGGTGATGGGACTGGGACTGCTGTGGGACAGGGAAGGGTCAGGGTGGTGGGGCTGGGACCCCTGTGGGACAAGGTGGTGGGTCTGGCTCTGCTGTGGGGCAGGTCTGGGAGAACCCCCAGTGCTCCCAGCCCCCAGGCAGGAGCTCAGTGCCCTCCCCTCCTCCCTGCAGGGCCGAGTTCAGGGCCGAGGTGCTGCAGAAGAGGCGAGAGGAGCGCCTGGGTGGGGAGAACTCCGCGGAGCTGCTGGAGGAGCACCGGCGCCTGATGGCCTGGAATGACGAGGAGAACGCCCGGCAGCGGGCACGCAGGTCAGCGGGATCCACTGCCCTGCGCGGCTTTGGCTTCTGCTTGTGCAGATCTAAACTCAGTTAGAGCCAGGCTTAATTTTTGTGAAGACCATTGACCTAAATCGTGACCTTTTTTAATGAATCTGCCAGCGCAGCGGTTTCTGCGCCTCTTGAGGCTGAGGGGCAAGTTAAGGGGCTCTGGGCAGCTTCCTGCCCTCCTGAGGATGGGAATGTCACCTCATCCATCAGGTTTTTGTTTTCCTTTCTGTCTGGCAGAGAGGAGAGACTCAGGAAAGAAGCGGAGGAAGAGAAGAGGAGGAAGTTGGAGGTCGCGGAGAAGCAGGCCAGGAAAATGGAGGCCTTCATGAAGGAGAAGGAGAAGGAGGTTCTCCAGCTGCAGGTAAGAGCAGCGGGTGCCTCCCGGGGGACAAGCTGCAGCAGTCCCTGCGAGGGATTTGCTGGCAGCCCGTGGGAGCCATGTGGAAGCCGTGGGCTTGTTTTCCAGGGGCCTTTCAGTTGGTAGCTGGGAGCGCCAAGCGTTGGCGCCTTCCAGGGGCGCTGACAGCGCGTGGATGGGAGAGAGGCTGAGCCAGAGCTCTGGGAACGGGGCGGAATAATCCCGAGGGGATAACGCTGAGGGAATAATCCAATCCCGTGTCCTTGGTTCAGGAGGAAGCCAAGAGCTTCATCACCCCCGAGAACCTGGACGCGCGGATCGAGGAGTGCCTGGACAACCCGCGCAACTACAACTTCGCCATCGACAAGGACGGGCGGGTCGTCAAGCGCACGGTGCTGTCGTAGCAGCCCCGGCATGGGGCTCCTGGCCCGCTTTGTGCCCAGAGCCTCCCCGCCCCGAGAAGACCTGGAATTCTTCTTTTTAGTGTATAAATTGACCACGGGAGTGGTGCAGAAAGACTGCGGGGTCTGGCTGTGCTGCTTCCGAAGGGTGGAACGACTGCGGGAAGGGGGGTGAGGGGGGAAAACTTGGGCTCGTTGGAGGCTCCAGCTGCCTGGCTCAGCCCTGTGTGGCTGTTGCTGTGCCTGTGATTCCACCTCCCACGCGTTTGGATCCCTGCTGCCTTCACACACAGCGTGTGGGGAGAGAAGCAGGAGCGGTCCCGAGGCAGATCCTGGCTCTGAGCTCAGTGCTGTCAGCCCCTCTGGATGCTTCCGAAGGCAAATGAGGGCTGAATGGATTTTTAAGGAAACACTTGCCCTCGTGTTTTTTTCTGTTGTTAGGTGAGAGGATTAATTGTTCCTCCTGATTTCTGCTGGGCTGGAGGGACCTGTGATCCCTCCAGCTTTGAACCCTCCTTTGCACATCCCTTGGTGTGGCTGAATGAGAAAATATGTCTGAACGATCTGAGATTTTTGGTGTCTCCTTATTCCCCACCTTCAGCCTTATTTTGCTCATCACCTGGTGTTGAAGGTGTAGATCAAACTGTGATGACTCTGGGTGTTCTGGGTTGTTGGGATCTTGCAGACTCTCTCAGCTTTGCCCTAAAACTGCTGGGTTTAGGTTCAGCCAGAGCCCAGGCTAACTGACCACAGGTCCCTCTGCCCTCCCTCCCTCAGAGAATTCACCTGAAATCCTCGCTTTTTACCTCCACTTTCCCTAAAAATGTCTTTTTCTGTCCTCACGAGCCCACACCTAAACCAGGCAAGAACACATAAGCCACAGACTTCTTTTAGGGTTGTTTTTCTGTACAAGTTTTATTTCTAATTAAGCTCATCACTCCAGGCTGAGTCACAGCCCTCAGCTTGTCTGTTCCCAGCCCGAGGCCAGGCTGGGACAGCGGGATGGATATTTGGGATCCTGTGGGTTCTGTCCCGGGTGGGCTACACAAACAGCAGCTCTTGGTCACAGGATGAGTCAGTCCCACAACCCTCTGTGAGGGGAGAGAGGAGGGAGTGTGGTGTGAAACCAGACCCCCCAAAACAGTGCCCACAGATCTCTGAAATGGCCCCCAGGAACTCCCCAGAAACAGTCCCCAGAGACACCCCAAACCATCTTCCCTGAAACAGCCCCCTGGGACCCCGTGGTTCTGGGGTTTAATGAGCTCACGCTCCCACCGTGTGCCCTGGCGTTTCCTGGGATTAGTAGTGGGATCTCTGGTAGTTTAATTTAGGGAGGAGGTTGGGATTTTTGGAAAACCCGTGAGAGCAAGAAGGGATGTGGGTTGCTGTACCCCACAAGGAGTGCTGCCATGGCCCACGGGAATCCTGCACTTGCTCAGCCCCCAAAATTCGGTTTCTGTCTGCTTCCCTCCTGCCCCAAAACCTCCCTGAAGGGTCTGATATCCCTTCCCTGGCATCGGGATCAATCTGCCCGGAGCAGGGTGGCCCCTAAAAAAAACGGGCGATGAACTGACACATGGGTGGGACCAAGACGATCCCTTGGGCATCCTTCCCTCTCTCACCCTCCTGTATAACCCGGGATCGCCGGGAAGTCCCGGGTCTCGCTCACCGGTGCTGCAGCAGATGCCGGGGGCGGCGCAGCTCCCGCCGGTGCCGCAGGGTTTGTGTCCCGACTCGCAGGGGGCGGGCAGGAAGTTTTCCTCCTGGCAGCGCAGGGTCTCGGAGGTGCCGATGTAACAGCCCAGCTCCTCCCCGCAGCAGATGTTGGGCCCGAAGCAGTGGCCCTTGTTCCGGGGGCCGCAGGGCAGGCACTGCTCGGGGGAGGGAGGAGGAGGGGGCAAAGAAGGTTGGGAAGAAGGGAAGGATGGGGTTAGGGATGCTCCGATCCTGCCAGGACCTACCTTCCTGATTTCCATGTCCATGACGGCGCGTTTGCCCCCGATGGGGCAGTTCTGGATGTAGCAAGCGGAGGAGAGAGCCAGGAGCCCCAGGAGGCAGAGGGCCAGAGCCTTGCAGGACATGACGGCGGCGGGACGGGGAGAGTTTTTTTGGATGCTCATCCCCAACCACTGCCCCTGTATTTATAGTCCCGGCTCCTACTTAGGGATTCTGGGCACCGGCGTCACCCGTGTTCCTTAAAAACCACAAGGCATTGCTTCCCACACCGGAGGGCTGGGTTAATAGCCGGAGGTCGAGGACGTGAGGGCAAGGCCGAGGTGTTGGTTTGCTCCTCGGTGACGGCTCCAATGGCCTTGGCGGGAACGTGTGGAGGCTGCGGATGGACTTTGGGGCTCAGGGCCCTTCTCTCCAGCCCTGCTGAGCTGTGGCGTGTCCCTCCATGTCCTGTTGGGAGCCCCTCTGGCATGGGGAGGGTGGGGATGAAGGAAGGCAGCTGCGGGTGGGATGTGTCCCCCCCAGGAGCAGGGTGAGAGGGGCACGTGCATCCCTTGGCTTCAAACCCCTTCAGGTGGGTGGAAAGCAAACACATCTCCTCCTCTGGGATCATCTGTGGGATATGGGGTGGGAAATACCCTTGTTGGTCCTGTCCACCCACCCCTGCCTGGCCTTTGGGGGATGCTCAGCACTGGGCTTGTCCCACTCTGGGACAGTGGTGACACCCAGCCCATCCCCACCCATCCAACAGCACCACAGCCACCTGAAAACACCAGACCTCCTGGGCAAAGACCTGAAATCCCAAACTTCCCCACCGTTTCTCCTTGGAGCTGCCTGTGGGGATGGAATGTGGTGCCCTGAACCACATCATCAGCACATGAAGGCCCCCCGAGGACGAGACCGGGGAGTGACGCAACCGCCCAGGGCCCTGCTGGCCCCGGCCCCTCACCTTCGTTATCCCAATTAGGAGCTTTCCCCGCTTGAATAAATTTCCCTGCCGTGGACAAAACTTACTGTCCATCGAGTTCATTACCCTGCACTGGCTTAATTGGGAATTAGGCAGCCTGGAGCCCGACAGCCGTGACCTTTTCAGGTCCCTCTGGCTTTGCTTCCAAATCCGCCACTTAGCGTGTCCGACGTGAGGGCAGCCGGGTCCCCGTCACCCACCCGGGGTCAGTCCTGCTCCCTGGGGCCAAGGCAGGCACTGGGATCCGTGTTAATGGGTTGGAAGTGGGGCTCAGCACCTACTGTGGGCTATCCCAGCAGCTCAGCTCCAGCTGCGGCACAGGATGGAGGGGGGGAATTGCCATCCTGGAGCCCCTATGGCTGCTCCAAGGGTGCCCAGACCCCCACAGGATGTGTACTGGGAAGACAAGGGGAAAAACCCCACCATTTATCAGCCTCTGGTGCTTTTGGGGACTCAGCATCTTGATTTTGAGGCTTCTGTCAGCTGGAGCATCATCCCGGCTCAGCCACATGTCCCCAGTGCTTCGGGAATGTTGGGGTTCACATCCCGCATCTGGGAACAGTCTGAGTGCCAGGGCTGGGCTGAACATCCCAATTCCTTCATCTCAGCATGGAGCCCCCTGTCCATACTGCTGTGACCCCTTTTCCAACGATTTTGGGGTGATCCCACCCCCACAGGGCTGGGATAAGCTGCAGGGAGCAGGGGCTGGATCAATCCTGCACCTCCTGCATGGTGCTGGGAGCTGGCAGGATGGATCCCGCCGGTGTCAGGGAGCTCCACCTCCTCGGAGGTGCCACCTCCCTCGGGGACGCTATAAAGGACCAGCTGTCCCCTGTGCTGTGTCCAGTCCCAGCCAGGGGAGAGCTCAGAGCAGGGACCCCGCAGGGTAAGAGACCTGGGACAGGGTGGGGAGGGGGTTGGGATAACAGTACCCCAAATTTGAGGGGGTGAGAGTGGGATAAGGGGGAGACCGATCCTGCCTTTCGGTGTCCAGAGGGGACCAGTTTGGTGGGTGATAGTGGGGAAAGATGAGACCAGCCCAAGGGGGTGTTTGGAGCTGGGAGCCCAAACTTTTCTGCTCTGGGGGGGTTTTGGGTGTTTTTCCTTACTTTTTATAATTTTCTAGCAGATGTCTGTGCTGCTTCCTGAAGGCAACAAGACCCCGAATCTGCCCCAAAGAGGGACTTGGCCAAGAGGTAACGTGATGGTGGCACATCCCAGACATCCCCAGTCTCCTGGGGCTGGGGGTGCTGAGAGGCTGAGCACCCTTGGGTGCTGCTGGGAGGGACTTGACAGCCAGATCCCAAAGCCCAGCTCTGCCTGAGCTCCTGCTGCAAGAGCGAGGCCAAATCCTGCGCCCAGCCCAGCCAAACCACTGCAGACAGTGGGGATTTGGGGAAGGGGGGGGGGAACCCCTCCACAATCGCCCCATCCTTGATCCCCAGACGGGTCCCCTGGAGCCCCCGGGACCCACCCCCAGAGCCCAGGACGAAGCCACCACAGTGCACGAGGACTTTTATTGGGTCTCGTATGTACAGTGCCGGGAGCGGGGGGGTCGGTGAGGGTGGGGGGTCGCCCCATGCCCTGGCTCAGAGGAGGGGGTGCTTGCCCTGCTGCTGCTGCTGCTGCTGCCGGTTCGCCAAGTGCATGAGCTTGAGGAGCAGATCTCCAGCCGAGCCGTCCAGCACCGTCAGGTTCTTCTCCGCCTCCTCCTGAGCCCCGTCCCCGCCCTCGTCCGGGCAGGCGGAGTCCATCGAGCACGTGTCTTCAGCGGGAGGAAAAACGTGGGGATGGAGCGGGTTATTGAGGACCCCGAGAGGTTTATTTTATGGCGGGGAAGGGGTTGGTGGCAGCCGGGGGGAGGGAGGAACCCGCACAGCTCCTGCTCTACTTTTGTGCCCCACCGTTAGTCAGGAATGGGTTTGGACGGGGAGGATTTCCTGGTGCACTGGGGAGGCTGAGTGTGCCTGGCTGGGAAAAAGCTTAGGGTAGTGGGTCGGGAAGGAGCTCCGAGCCCAGTCCTTTAGAATCAGGGAATGGTTTGGAATGGAAGGGACCTTAAAGCCCATCCAGTTCCAACCCCTTGCCATGGGCAGGGAAACCTTCCACTATGCCAGGTTGCTCCAAACCCCATCCAGCCTGGCCTTGGACACTTCCAGGGATCCAGGGGCATCCATAGCTCCTCCGGGCAACCTGTGCCAGGGCCTCCCCCACCCTCGCAGCCAACACTTCCTTCCTTTATATCTTCCCCGAATCCAACTATCCAGAAATGCCTCCAAACGGAGCCAAACACCGCCCCCACTCCCTGCCTCAGTTTCCCCTTGGTAAGGTTAAACCCCGGCAGCAGACCAGGCTGAACTTGCGTTCTGCCCCACGCCCTTGTGACACCCCAAAGCCCCGCATCCCATCGCCCCAGCGGTCCCGGCAGCCCCGTTACCGGCGGTGCAGCAGATCCCGGGCGCGGCGCAGCGGCCCCCGGAGCCGCAGGGCTGCCCCCCGGCCTGGCAGGGTGAAGGCAGGTAGTCTTCCTCGGCGCAGCGCCGCGTCTCCGCCGTGCCCAGGTAACAGCCCAGCTCGGCGCCGCAGCAGATCCCGGGCCCGAAGCAGTTCCCTCTGTTCCCGGGGCCGCAGGGCATGCACTGCGGGAAGGAGCTGCCTGAGTCCCACCCCGTATCCCTCGGCAGGGTGGACCCTGCACCCTCCTGTGTTAGAAAGCAGCTGCCCGCCATCCCCTTTTCCAGCCCTCGGAAGTGCAGGGCGAACCGCCTTGTCCCTGCCACCTCGTGCTGCGGCGCTGGCCCCGCTTTGGGGGGTCCCCGCTGCCCTTCGTGTCCTCCCTGTCCCCTCTCCACGCGCTGTCCCGTCCCCCTGCTCCCCTTCTCCAGCGGGATGCTTTGCTGCGGCCAAGTTTGAGCTTGTCCTTGAGGAGCAAGCGGCATTTCGGGTGCTCGTTCCTCCGCCGCTCCCCCTTGGGCACGTCCCGCAGCCATCCCAAAAAAAAACCCGCTCTGCTTGGGGCAGTGTGGCACGGCCAGTGATGCCAACAGGTGCCGAGGAGCCTCCGCACCCCGCAGAGCCGCTCTGCGCCCTCCAGAGCCCCGTCCCGTGCCCCGGGGCTCCCCCGCATCCCATCCCATCCCGTACCTGTCGGAGGGCTGTGTCGGCCAGCGCCCGCTTCCCGCCCCGGGGGCAGTTCTGGATGTAGCAGGCGGAGGACAAGGCGAGGAGGCAGAGGAAGGAGAGGGGCAGCGAAGGCTCTGGCATGGTGGAGGGTGCCCGGGGCTGTGCCACGCGTGCCAGGGGGAGCCGCTCGCTCTGTGTCTGGCCCCGTGCTGGGAGAGCTCCTTTTATGCTGCCGTCGCCCCTTCCCAGGGGAGGAGGAGGAAGAAAAGGGATGGGTTGTGAGGTTTTTTTGTTGTTGTTGTGTTTTTCTCTCTCTTTTTTTTTTTTTTTTTTTTTTTTTTTCCCCAAATGGCATCCAAGCGAATCTGTAATTGAGATGATTCAGTGCAGCAGCTCTCGGGGCTGGTGAATCCCACCCGTTGTTTCCTCGAGGGGCACGGGCCAGCCCTGGGATGGCCACTGGCCCTGGGATGGGCAGTGCTCGGGAAGGGGACCTGGGTGAGGGGGTGCAGGTTTAGGGAGAGATGCTCCTTCAGGAGATACCTGTCTAGGGAGGGATGCATGTTTGGAAGGTGCTGCCTGGGGAGGGATGTTGGTTTGGGAACAGATGTTCATTCGGGAGATGTGGGTTTGGGAAGGATGCAGATTTTAGGAGAGATACTGTTTTGGGAGTGATGGTGGTTTGAAGGGATGCAGATTTTGGGAGGGATGGTGGTTTCAGAGGGATACTGTCTTGGACTGATACAGATTTTGGGAAGGGTGCTGGTTTCAGAGGGATGCTGGCTTGGGAGAAATGCTGGTTTGGGAAGGAATGAAAGTTTGGCAGGGATAGCAGTCTGGGAGTGATGCTGGATTGGGGAGGGGTTAGAGTCTGGAAGATGCTGATTTATGGGGAGTTATTTGTTTGGAGGATGCTGTTTTGGGAAGGGATACTGTTTTAGAGGATGCTGGTTTGGGGAGGGATGCTGCTTTGGAGGATGCTTTTTTTGGGAGGGATGCTGCTTTGGAAGATGCTGTTTGACTGATGCCGCTCTGGGA